AAAAAAAAAAAAGGATGTACTGTACAGTCAAAAAATATTCTGTTTTTTAAAGCTGTACACGCTGGAAAAAAATCCCCGATATTTTCCTGACGTGAATTTCCAACAAACAAACAAATTAGCAAATGTGTGAAGTTCACAAGCACCTATTATTCAGAACGATGAACACAGGTGGACTCTCTGCAACGATTTTCTCTGTACGACGAATTGTCCTTGTCCCAAAAAAATGGGGGTTCTCAAAAGGGACAACAACAAAATCTTTTTAGAGAGAATTTCAGATGATGATTCGGTTGAAGTCGAAAAGGTGGCCCTTTCAATGCTAAAAAAAACGTTCGTTATATGGAGCATATTGCAGTTGAAGAAATCAAAAGACGAAACAAAATTTCACCTGCGCTAAGGTGAATAAAAGAAGTTCTCTTCATAGAAAAAATAACTCTTTGGAATCTTTTGACGTTCGAAGCACGCCTTTCGGACGTTTAATAAATGAAAACTACAATAGTTTTATTATCGAGCAAAAATCCGTAAACTAAGAATAAATCACGGAAACCTGAAATATATTCAAGGGTAAGTCAACTTTCCCAGTACTATACATAACATTTTACTTGAAATCAGCGGGATTTTGCAGGCAAAAATATCTTGGAATTTTTGAAAATGCAGACCTGATAACACAATTCATAGCCAGCTTCTGTCAAACTAAACATTTCGAGTTGAATAACACCAAGGCCGGTCCCATCGTCTTCCTAAGGAAAACGAGTTAAACCCAACCGTCTGCATTTCCACGTACCCACAGTGAAATTACCAAGATACTGTATTTGAATATTCATTCAAGCGAATTTTTCGATCAATTTCCACAGGTGTTTTGGTACGACGATCGGATCAATGAAGAATTCAAAGCAGCCGCTGTGAACATGAGCGCCAAATTGATGCCCGACGGGAAGCGATGGGAAGTGCGATCGTCGTTGACGTTCACGCCGACACGCGATCACGACGGCCAAAATCTCACATGCTCAGTCATGAATTCTGCAGCTGCTGGCAACCCGCTCAAAACGTCCATCACGCTCAACGTGAGTGAATTTCATCACGACGAAATAATTACAATGTACAGTATTCTACTTACAAATCCATGTTCTTTTGTTGTACTGTACAATAAAGGGCTTTGCAATCGGTGGTATGCGTAGGGAACTTTCCAGGTCAAGTTATACGGGATTTTCAGTTTCTTGAATTTCAGGATCAACCAGATTTCAAGTGAGACACGAAGAAACTGAGCTTTTTACTACATTAATGTTTTTTTTTCAAACCAAGCATCAACATATGTTAAATACGGTATGACGCGAAAGTAAATTAAAGCAATATTTCGTTAACTCAGTCGAAACTCGAAAGTCGTAATTTCACTTGAAATCTGAAATCTTGAAGCCAGCGAAACCCGTTTCTTAAAAGGGTTAAAAATAAAAAATCCAGGTTTCCATAAAAACAAGCAGTGACAAAATATTCAAGGACATGCATGAACCTTTCATTTATTAAAATAAAATACAGTAGACACAATTATCTGACAATTATCAACTTTTTTCAATTTTCAACTGAAAATATAATTTTGAGATGCAGAGACAAATTTAGGTGTGAACCTTAGAAAGCTACTTGGTTTAAATTTAAAAATACTTGAATCAAATCTAGGAACTTCGCAAAGCGTAAAGATAAATGTTGAATATGTGGAACTTCTATCACGAAATATGTGCAGCTAATTTTTTTTTTTTTTTTTGGCACCTCCAGATGGTATAAAATAGAGGAAGCGATTCCCACAAACAAATTCATCGTCTGAATTTTAACTCTTTAATTTTCTGGCGTAGGTTTTTCTGTGCAATATATGCAACTGAAGATAATCATGGGAACAGCAATAAATAGAGGCATGAACCCAAGAAATATAATGGTTGGAAATTGAAAAAAAGATAATTTTACTCTTCGAACTAGTTTAACTTCTGTCGTGAAAAAAAGATGCGCCGCTAATTTTTTTTTTATTGACGACAGAAAGATCAAATTCACACTGATTTCATAAGGGAAAGCAATCCTATTATATACAGTATGTCGAAAATTCTTTCGGATTAATTGCGTCGTAAACGAGGTAATGACATCCACATGTCCTCAGGGCCTTCATGCGACCTGATTAGGCCGGCCGCGTCGAATATTTCTCGCAAATGACAAACAAGTGCGGGCAATAAATCCATGCCGTTCCCGCCCCCTCTTTTGTGCAAATATAATCTAAACGCGCTGTGCCAAAAAAATGAAAGAAACAAAAAAAAAATAGGAAGGAGACAGAGACCACAGGGGGTGGTTAGCATTCACTACTGGCTTTTGTCCGCGAGGCCTGAGAAAGCGTCCATCTGCGCTGTTCCGGGTTTACCCCAAGCTTTTCTTCTCAACGGGGTTTGCATGATTCATGATGGTTTGCTCGCCCACTTGTTTTCTCCCGAGTCACGCGAAAGACTGGAGGAAACACTGTTTGAACTTTGGTTTTAGTAAGCTTGCAATCTCTTTCCTTCACTGGATATGTGGCAGCGTAAGCAAACACGCTGGAGTACAGTGCAGTAATGTACTGTGACCCAGTATGACCTAATCGGACCTGATCAGACTTATCTGCGTTCTCGATTCATTTTCAGTGTGCTTTTTCTATTGTCGTCGAACGCTCGAATAATCCCCATTTTATGTATATTTTTCAATTGCATATTTTTGGCATCTTATTAACTGGAATGACATACGTATAAATTCAATTCGAACTTATTCAGAGCAAGCGCATTTTTCCGCATTTCCGCAAAGAGCTGTATTATTTCCATTTGATTGAAAAAAATTATGTAACACATTTTAAGGATTGGGTTAAACAGTGTTTGAAATTTAGTACTTCTTTTAAATCCGCAATTCTCGATTTTGTTGTTCAAAAGGTACACTTACGAAATCTGTAGTTTACGTAGGAACTCGAGCAGCATTTTTTTTTAGCGTCATACAATTTTTGAGAGATGTGCCAAAAATGTGTATTCAGTCGATTCAGATGCGAAATCGCGCCTAAAGTGACATTTTCGTGGAAGAATTACCAATCCATCTATTTTGTCGGGGGAAATCATGAAATTTGACCATTTTTCTGCGAACAACTACAGTAATAAGTAATATCCTTCTCCTTGAGTATTTCTAATTAAAATTAGGAATTGATTATAAGAATTACCAATCCATCTATTTTGTCGGGGGAAATCATGAAATTTGACCATTTTTCTGCGAACAACTACAGTAATAAGTAATATCCTTCTCCTTGAGTATTTCTAATTAAAATTAGGAATTGATTATTTCTAATTTTTATACACGGAATAATCAAGTGCTATAAAAACAAAATTGGAAGTAAGTCAAGAATTTTTGCTGGCTTTTATTGGGTTCTGAAGCATCTAAATTTAGATATTAATTTACAAGAAGAATCTTCTATATTTTATTTATTTGGTGGGTATTCAAATGCGTTACAACCAGATTAATCGTCCGTTTGAGACGCATTCAAGGGTTTCATTTTTCAGATGTCAGCCTTCCAAACAAAATTCAACATGTGAAGAAAATAAAATTTTGAACCCGCCGTTTAAAAAACGCTTGAAACGCGCTGGTTTAATTTCTAGTTCTGTCATTGAATCTTTCTTCCTTCCGCGGGTGAATGTCAAGGGGAATCGCGGAAATGCAAAAAACCTTGGCCCACATGTGTTTCTCGGCCGGGAAGCAGTTAATATTTGCCCTTTCGCGCCCTTTCGAATGAATTGGGTCTAACCCGACCAGTTTCCTGTGGTTTTCCCGAACTTATCTCTTCTCTCCGCCCACGAAAAGTGGGGGATAAATGATCTTCCGAGCCGCGATGAGAGACTTTCTCCAGGTTGTTTGCTTTTCTGAAGCTTGTTTGTACGCGCGATTTTTGCTTCTTTTTTTTTTTCTTCTTGAAACTAGAGGAAGAAGAGCTAACTAGGTTTGTTTTGGTTCACGCAGGTGAAATATGCTCCGAGTATAACGCTGAAAACGATCCCGGAGAAGATCAGCGAATCCGACGACGTCATTCTCAACTGCTCGGCTGTTGCGAACCCACCTGACATCCGTTTTCAGTGGATTTTCGACGGAGAAAGGGTATGAGAAACTCAAACCGAATCCCTGACCAACAAGAACATCACGATTAATTATTTGAAAAAAAAAAACTTCAAGATATCAAACTGAGAATTAAATCAACCGACGAAGTTTTCACTGACGAGAGCAGAAAAAATGTCAGGCGTTTATACACGGAATAATCAAGTGCAATAAATACAAAATTTATGCTTCAATGATATACACGTTGATCCTTTAAAATTATTTAGTTTGCAATAAAATTACTTGTTTTAATGCCTATACAGACGGACCTTCTTTTCCCGACGGAGACGCGACCAGAATCGTAACTGCGAAAGAAGGCGCCGATTTGAAACTTGATTGCGACGCCGAGTCTAATCCGGAACCTAGTTTTGAGTGGACTTATGGATTATATCCCAGGGTAATTTGTTTTAAATGTGTATTCCAATTGGTTATTTATACAAATGCTTACAATGTAAAGCATGATATCAGAAAAGTGTGGGTCAATAAAAAAAGCACAAGCAAAAAACAGCAAGAAATTATTTCCGATTATTAAGTTTTGTGACTCAGTTTTTGCACAGATTGACACACCGCGCGCCATTTTTGATTTAGCAAGCACGTCTGATAGCTTTTCTAATTAAATTGGCTACCAATTTCTTGCAAATTATTTGTAGACTCAACTTCTGTGAATGGAAATGAAGTTGTATATAAATTATTTCTCGTGGAACAGCCATAGAGCATCAAGAGATGTTCATGGACCTCTCAAAATTCCAAACAGTACGTGCTTGAGGGAAATACATATATAAAAAAATTCAATTTATTTAAATCCCATTTTCAGAAATTCTGGTCCAACATTGAATTGAATTAATGACTTTTCTTTTGCTCCCAGATCCTGGAGACCAGCAAGCAATTAGAAATTTTGTCGGTGAACAGACGGAAAGCCGGAAGTTACTTTTGCAACGTATCCGTCTCCGGGTTCCCACCTGTGTCAAAGGAATACTCGGTCGTCATTCAGGGTCGACCTCGGATAGAATCACCCGTAACCCAGTACGGGAAAGTGGGCGAGGTCGTGTTTGTTGTGTGCCACGGGTTTGCAGCTCCGTCCTTGACTGCTGTCGAATGGTTCTTCCGCGGAGAAAAACTGCAAATCTCAGGTTGGTTCCTTGAATTTGAAATACTGTAACTTTGTGGATCTCATTTCATTTAAAGTCGAGCTTTAAGGGACCAGCAAAAATTTTGACATATGGGGGGGATTTTGAGTTAGAGATAAAAAAAAAACATTTTTGTTGAAAAGAGAAGAAAAAGAATTGCAGAAAATCGTTTAATTGGGGATATTCTGGGCCTTGAACTGCTTCCTGAATGAGCTGAAAGGATGCTGAAATTGAAGGCAAGGGTTTTTTTTTTGCCCAGTAAATCTTTCACTTCCTTTCAAAATGCATCAAGTTATAATGTTACTGCTTTTCTCTTTCTTGCATCAATAAAATAATATCGAAGTGACCTGTTAGGGACTGCGGAATTCTTTGAAATCATTTTTGAGGGGTATGGGAAACAGTTACTTGAAATTACTGTAAACCAGAAATTGTATTTTCAAGACAAAGACGCCAAGACATCGAATATTATTAAGTTGATGTTTTTTTTTAAATATTATACGAACACGGCCACATGCCCCGAAAAAGAGCGGGGGGACTTTGTTATGCGATCAAGATGAACTCAGACCAAAACAAAGCTGTGGAATAAACACGTGAAACACGCAGCTTGAAACCATGAATCATTAGCGAAACTGTTTATACGAGCAAACCAGGAGCACAAACAAACTCTGCATGCAAAAAAAAGCTTAAAATGGCAAAAAGAAGGAAAGCAGCATGCTTTTGGTGTTTTGCTTTCACTAAAAGTCCGATTAGGCTGAATTTTCATTTCTCTCATGCTCTACAGGTGATCCACACTTCGACGTTTACGACAACAAGACAGACGCGGAGTTTTGGAGCACTTTGCAAATATTTGGCGCGTCTTCCACAGACTTTGGGGAATACAACTGCTCCGTTGTCAACGACATCGGCGGGGATTCGAGGCTCATTCTGCTGAAACCCCAGCGTGAGTTTCGCAATTGAAAAAAAAGCATTCATTTCACATTCTCTTGAAAAAAAAAGTGATTGAAAACTACGTTCAAATAGGGAGCTTGCCTCTGCCGACAATTTTGGCAGCAGTTGGAGGAGTGATTGCGGTGATCGGCTTCACAATAGCAATAGTTGTCGCGTGTCAACGGAGCAAAAGTCCGACAAAACCTTTTGATGGTGAGTCAAGCGACATCTATACGCGACGCATCATCACGTGTGCATTCTTTTCTACGTAGAGGCCACTCTGACACCAGCGAAATTTCTCTTTTTGAACTTTTTTGCAGATTACGGTGGGACAACTGACGAAAGCAGGTCAGACTTGTATGGAAGGAAGGTGAATCACCCAGTTATGACAGCTGGTACAAGATCATCAGTGTCTACACCCGAGGATGACGACACCGATGAGACAGGAGAGAAGCGGTATTTCCACCAGCAACGTGGAACCACAGACGGTGGCTCCACCTGGGACCAGGAAACCTCGCTTTACGACACTGCTCACTCCAACTCCACTGTCCATGTAAACGCATTTTGTCCAACAGCAAAACTTTAGAGAGTGAATTTATTTCATTTCGCTCTTTTTCAATCTTCATTTTCCGCTCTAGGATGGCGGTGATAACATGATGACCAGCAATTACTACTACAAAGAAGAACCTCAACTGGGGCCAACAGTGAATGATCCTCGTTACTGCGCTCTCTATGGCAATCCGTACCTCAGCCAGTACGCTGCGCCGCTAAATGGAAACCTAGGTGTCGCCGCTAGTCAAACCCCGCCGCCACCAGACCTCATTCGTCGCCCAAAGGACTACATCACTGTGCCGGTGACGATGCAGTCGACTGGGCGTCCGTTTTTCCCCCGCGGAGGAGGTGGTGGCGGCGTCCAAGGCACTGCCATCTAGCGGTGTATCTCTGTTGACCCGACCTCGGGGCTTTGTTGGCACCATTGAGAAACAGCGTTGCGTCTTTTATCCTCTCGGTCTTCGCCGAAAGATGGTGCTTCTCTTTCGCAGGGGACGGCAATCAGTTGGGAGGAGAAGAGGAGGGAAACGGCGCACGATTTTTATATGCTCGAACAATTGTTGAAGTCTAAGAAGAAGAAAAATTGCGGAGATATTTGTGCCTATTTTTCTAATACCTAGGTACGCGTAGCCAGGTTGTTGTTGCTTAATATTAACTTACTGCGCTTCTTTGGCTGCACAATGAAACTCAGCATAAATGAAAACTACTAATTTCTACCCAGTTTTCCAAAGCTCCCTGCTGAAAAAAAAATCCAGAAGTATTCCCCATTGCACCGCTTCTGCTAATTATGAAGGGAGTAATAAGGGTAAATGTGTACAAACTCCCTTCCAGCGTGAATTATACTAATCATTTCATTGTTTTGAAATTCAAACTCAAATACAACTTAAGTATCATGCTTTCAAATGAATATATTTTGTTGAAATTAAGAAGCAAGGGTGAAAACTTTCATTCAGATGAGTTGATCACTTGTTTTTCAAGATTCCGATTGCGATTGAATTTAATGAAGTACCGCAAAAAATCAGGACGGCAACAAAAGCATTTGTCTTTTTTCGAGAGACTTTCTGAAATGAGATCTCCCATTTGCAATTTTTAAAAAATTTGCATGTTATTCCTGGAAAATACTAGAACTGAATTTGAAAAAAAGGGAAGACAGTGTTTGAAGCGTGAGAATTTTAATGTCGTAAGGATGTATAATCATCGTAGCTGTTATAAAATTGACTAATTTTCAATAATTAAATTTAAGTCTTCGCGGCTAAGATACGCAATTATCCGGCTCATCCAAAAATTTAGGCTTGTCAATTTGCTCGTGAAAACCCGGCTTGGTTGAGAACATTTTCCGGATACCTTTCCATAAAATGAATTACAAATCTACACGCGTGCTTCAACTGAAATCCCGAAAAAGTCCAAAAGTTCCCAAAATGTTGACAAAAACACTGTACCATTTGAAGCTGGCTCTGAACAGTCACCTATACTCCCAAGAAAAATGTGATTTTTGTACGAGATTAACCGGAATTCCTAGCCCCAAGGTATGTTTTCCATGGAAACAATGTCTTTATAGGAGAGGAGGGGGTTCTTTTTTTTTTTTTTGGGAGGGGTTGAAGGAATATTGTGCGTGTTGAAAACGCCAACAGTGGCATTAGTTTTGCAGAAGTTAGACCTGCGCTTCGGGCCATCCCGGCGTTGTTTTTTTCTTTTCTTTTTCGTACGCTGAAGAAAAAAAAAAAGATCGCGAAAAGCGAAGAAAACACGACCCCGTCATTGTTGAAGACATTTTTGCGTCTCGTGTTCCTTTTTATTTAATTAATGAAGGGGCTGTTGCTGTTTTGCATGCGTGCATGCAACCCCTCGAATACCTGGATTTACTTTACAAATTTAGTAAGGGTAAATCGGAACTTGGGTATATTGGATGTAAATGATGCTTTTTCGTCAGTACGCCTCAATCTTGACATCGGTTAACCCAACCTTGCTTCTTATACAGAAGTTATTTCAATCGAATCACCTGTTTGAACAAAGGCAGAAAGCAGAATTCGAGGCTTAGATTCTGAACTGTAATCCCATCATTCACAGGAGGAGACACATTTATCGTTCAAAATTCATCATTTGGCTCAGTTTTGGTCACACAAAAAAAAACGCGAGAAAAAACGAAAATTTCAATCGGAGAAACGAGTACAAGATACTTCACAATGTTTAATCAACAATATAGTTCATCCTGAAATATACTGTATAAAATATTGTTTGATGTGCTTAACTTTAAAAATGCACCCGGAATTAATTTAAGGGTATATGATGAATGGGTCTCACAAATGATTTCATACAAATGTTAAATTTTTACCCATGTTTCTCGTTTAGAAATAATTCAAATACAAACGGGATGCCGTCATGAGATATTCGATGAATAGCGAACGGTGATCTTTGGGGTCCATTATTTAAAATAAAATTTGATTTCATATCACCGAGAGATTATTTATTTAAAATAAGTCAAAAATGTCTCCATTGAATCGTATTTGAGACGCCTTAAATTATGAGGCTATAACGTCAGTTCTCCATCCTTGAGACTCCTGAAAGCAAAAACAAAAATAGTTTGCATACCAATAAGAAACCTTTGTGTTTTGTATTCCCTCGATTACCAGCTTTACCCTGATCTAAAAACTTCCGAAAAAATCTGGATTATATTTCTCGTAAATTAAAAAAAAAATATGTTAGACGATGTCCATCAAATTTTTTTTTAATTGCGCTGGTTATAATCAATCGTGCAATTTTCTCGAAATCCAAGACCCCATATTCAAAATGAAGATACAATCGAACAAGACCGACTCACATCTGATTAAAATTGTACGACGTGGGTTATGTTGATGAATGGAAATGTGTTTGCAAAAATAATAATGCCAACAAAAAAAAAAAGTCGCGCTCTTGTGGGGGAGTCGAAGATTCTCTTGGAGTTATATTCAAGTTCAGATTGATCAAGAGATGTGCTGTCTTGAACATGCACAAATGCGTGGTGTTTCTGACATCTTGGGTTTTGCTTTGAAGAGTCCCTTCTTCATACAAAATCGTGTAACCCTACGCAAAAACGTGGGATGCATGAATGAAAGCACGGCAATCTTCGAGATACAAGGTTATTTTCAGAGGATGATGAAACTCCGCTGACATTTCCCGAACGTAGAAAGTAAAATTAATTCACGTAAAGTTCAAAAATCCCGCACGCTTTCAATGCATTATTCAAATTAGAGAA